TCACAGAACCCAAACAAACGGAGACCCTGCGTAACACCTAGTAACATTGAGTTTATTTAAAGTGAGAGATTTCTAGCCCCACGCCCAACCTCAAGAAGAATGCTACAGCTGTCAGCTGTCCGCAAATGCTTATTCAGTACATACGTATTTGTAGTTAACTTTACGTATAGAGATTGTCTCCATCCGCGACAGTGGAATTCGTTCTCTATCACAGATAAATTTATTTTATTATAATTACGAAAATGTAGGCGTTTACAGAATTGATATAAGTATGAATTTATAAAAGAATTATAATGGAAAGTAATGCTATTAGATACAATTTGGCAAGATGTGTGGTTTCTATAGTTGTGTGTTTTCACGCTTTCTCCTGCGTCGCTGTTCCACATTAAACGAAAATATGTAGTATGTGAAAACTTTACTCTGAATTAGCGAAATTAATTACTCACGTCGTCGCCAATGCCTACTGTAATGCGTTTTTAGTTTGTTTAAACAGATATCCGCAGGTAGAATCAGGCGAACTTTGTTTGCGTGAACAATATTTAGATTCTTCTGAACATCCATGCTTAAATTTTTACCACTTTTTTAAAAGTGTATTTTACCGGTTAATACAAACTGTGTCTATTTAAAACCTTTCTACCAAGCATCTGAGATATCAAGAGGCGTACGAAGATCACTTAAACAGTCTAATAACATTTCTCCTGTCTTATTTAACCCAAGTCCAAGTTATAATAATTCTGAATTCAAAATCATTTGACTATACCATATAATATGGCGACTACTTTCACACTGTCATTATGACGTATTCAAACCTTACAAATGAGAATAAATGGTATGCAACGTTCCTCATGCCTTCATAACTACAGTAACCAATTCGTTTAGAATTTATTTTGAAGCCAGTGCTCTAACCTGAAGTTGGGGGCATTATGCTCCTCCCAAACGTCCGTATTTATCTACAAGTCCGCACGACGTCACAACCTAAAGACCATCATGGACTTCTGCTAACCACAAGGCATCTTGCCTGTCCTTAAGACTGTTAACCCACACTCAGTTTCTTTAGCATTTGTTCTTAGGCTATAGTATTTATTCTACCCTAACCTAAATTTCGCTCATTTGCAACGAAATTAGCAACGCTCACGGTTCGAGAGTGGTGTTTGTTCAGGTGGCGAGTCTAAAAGGCTTTGCCAGGGGGAACTTATAAAAACAACAAGTACTCTGAGGAACGAAAAAGCCGTTTTCCTTTTATTTTCACATTAGCTACACGAATGCACGAAAATCAAGCTGAAGCCACAGAAATGACTAATGTTTCAGCCGTTACGTTTTCTCGTTTTATTAACATGTTAACTAATTTTAAGTATATTTTATGGCACAGAAATTCATACTATATTTTATTAATCACAAGTGTTTATACAAATTAAAGCTTAAGTATGTAACACTTCCACATGTCTGTATTAAATTATACCGTATATTAATCTCATTAGTTACAAGAATATGTGCATTTATTGTAGTCATGTTTGCTACGTTAACCTTAAATTTAGACAGAAATTAATAAGATAATTACATGTTTAAACGATCTACCAAACACAACTTAGTAATCCCAAGCGAATATTAACAGAGTTGTTCCAAGGTGAAGAGTTAGAACAGTTGGTATGCTCATGAAAGAGAATTAAAAATGTGTCTTCATGCAGTCTTCGATAGGTATATTCTGTTACGGCGCCCGTCTGAAAATATGTGTGCTTGCAAGCAACAGAGGATTTTAAGATTGTGTGAATAATCATTTGGATTTGCACCAAGTTCCAATAATTTATAACATGTTTATTATTATTATTATTATTATTATTATTGTTTTGTTTTCATGGAGTAGGCCTTATAGCCTCTTCCAATTCAGTATTAATCCTGAAACTATAAATATTTTGACATTTGCTATGACTGCAGGATGAGGCTTAAGAGGTTAGGGGTCCGGTCACTGAAAGGACTCTACCTACACAGGTCAGTTTAACACAAAAAGGACGCGTATAGATTCATACCTTGAGAGGGATTCGAGCCCACGATCTCTATGTTGAAGCGGCCAGGTCCCACGATTCAGACCTAGCGTTCACTATAAACAGATAAAAAGTTCTCATTTGTTTAGAAATTTGTAAACCCACTGACATGAGAGACTGGAAGAAGGTACAACACGCTACCAGTATCATTTGGAATACGAATTCAGAACCTGAACATTCATCACATGAACTTATCTGAACCTGGCTTCCCTTTGGGTACAACAAGCAGACAATTGATCCAGCTGACAGCACTATTTTGAGAAGGATTAAATTATTCCCACATCTGCCCAGCATGCTAAGGAAAACCGCGGACAATACAAGCCTTGTGTCTCGATTTGCTGATGCGGTGTAATGCTGTCAGACTGGAATCGAACTTCATATCAAAGCTGCAGCCTGTCATGCTCCAGCAGTAGTGACAACATTACGAACATTTAACAGAGTGGAGTATGATACGGTAGAGCGAGTGTGCCATTGTGCGGATTATAATAAAGTTCTATCGCCCGGTATTAAGCTACGCTTTGTTGTAACTGGCCGGATTTCAGTATTGGAACGAAACATTTTTATACCAGTGCATTAATACGTTTATAGTATTTTTTCTTTCTTCGACGGTGACCAAAAGATCGTCATCATTTGCTGACAGTGCTTTGTCTGTTGTCCATACAGGTGGGTACAGGATTGGTTTCAGACACAGGCCTTTCATAAAAATATGTCCAAAACATTCAACTGCGGACCACAAACCAGACGCACAGGAAACTTGCATGGATGTTATAGCGTCCATAGCTTTGAAACAGTTTGTCTGAAAGAATGTCGTACAGAACGCTCTTCACGGATCATAAATAAACAAATAATACACGTCGTCATACAAGACATAATATTTGTCCCTCAAACGTCTGTTAATCGATTCACCAGTTGCGAAACGAGCTGTACTTAATTTCTCTGGAAGCCAATAATAAGTTCACTGACTTAATTATTTATTTCCATGAAGCAAAATTTATAAAACAGTACAAATTCCTATTTATAAAAAAATGGTTCAAGGTCACGTTACAGTCATGCAAAAATTACACATCAGGTTAATTTTCTGTCATGTATTCCTGTTTTTGTGTTTTTACTCTGTCTCTCCGTGGAAGGAAATGAGAGAAGACGGAAACAAATAAGTGCAGAGACGAGGACAGTACCGTGAAATAGGCCACGATCGCTTCTAGTCACATCCTTTACGACAGTCAATCGTATATAACCACCAGCTCATCTGATGACAAACAGGTACAATCACTAAAGTTGATAAAGAATCATTAAATACGATTCGAACAAGCAGTAACACACGAAAAACACTGCCGTCAATGCTGTTTCGTCTGTACAAGCGCTTGTTGCATGGGGAGGCACAGAACTACAAACTACAGAAACAGACACTCGACACAAATCGACTGCTATTCTCGGATTAAAATCTGTCGCAATAGACAGTGAATGTGACTTTCGCGTGGAAGTCTAAGCTTACTGTATGATGAATAAACTAGTGACAACAGTAGAGTACCAATTCATTTCACGAACTATGTAAGTAGATTATATTTTGGTTTATAGATATTCTATTCAAAAGTTGCACCGCTTTGTTTCGGGTATTTCATCCGTTTTAATCCTACCTGTACAAATCAAACAATTCGACAAAATACAATTGTAGGCCTGCACTGACTAACGTCTATTTCGGAGGAATGGTACAACACGTATTACTGGTACCGTTCACACATCCTAGTATTATTACACTTCTTTCCCTTGCAAGAATTCTTATTTCTTATTTTCCATTAGTTTTCTGCTTTTTATTAACGGAAGCGCACCAAACATTATCATCGCTTTTTTATTAGTCGCGTTCGGAACTCACGGAGCGCCTATTAAACGTAGAGCAATTTAAAATTTATTTAAATACGACTGCAGACGACATTTGCTTTTATCGTGTCGATGTTGAACTTCTGGGTTGTAACGCCGCGTAGACTTCCTACAAAGTCTCAGAATCTCATATCTCTGCCTTTACTATGGTTAACTTGGTTACTCTCGTTACGTAGCAGAGGAGGAATCCTCCGTGATGACGTCACAATCTATGCAGATACCCCGCCCGCGCAAAGATAGTTCTGCCGAGACAACTCTGACGTCACTGCCGCCATTCTCAAAGGTCAAAGGCCAAATTTTGACCAACGGTTCATCATTTTTACACTATTGGTACTGCCCTGATTTATTTATGTAGTTTTTTGAATTCTTTTTTTGTGCCGTAATTTTTTCGTGTGTTATTTATTGTTTTGTTTTACGTGTGAATATATTTTATGAGACATATTTATCTGATTATGTGGAGGGTCGGGGATTCTTCAAATATTGGAGATGATGTTGGCCCCAGGTGACTGTTGCACAACAGTGGAATTCAAGGATTCTCATAATAGTGCAAGATAAAAGTCTCTTAACTCGCCAAGAAATTCCTCGTCTTTTAAGGAACCTGAAAGTTCATTATCCTGTCCACTAAAGTGTCAAATTGTATTTGGACACTGTCCCGAGCCAGTAAAATTCGCCCACATCCTCAGAGCCTTGAAGATCCATTTGAGTATTATCCCCGCATTCACGCCTAGACCTCCGAAATGGTCCTCTTTCGGACTTCAAGTATGATTTCCTTTATATTATATATTCCTTCTCCGCTATATGCTACATCTCTCGTCTGTCCACATACTCTTATCATTTGATCACAAACAAGAAGAGATCTACAAACTATAAAGCCTTTTATCATAAAAAATGTTTCCCTACCTT